TCTTGTCCATGGTGCCACTTCCCACGGTGGTGTCTTCCATGTCCGTGGTGGTGGCCGTGGTGTCACTTCCCATGGTGGTGGCACTTCCCATGGTGGTGGCACTTCCCATGGTGGTGGCCATGATGCCACCTCCTAGAGGGCTTGGTGCAGTGTCTGTCACGTTGCTGCCCAGGTCTGTGGTGTCACCTTCCCTGGTGGTGGCTCTGATGGTGCTCTCAGTGGTCCTGGTGGCACCTTCTGTAGTGGTGGCACTTCCCATGGTGGTGGCCCTGGAGCTGCTTCTCATGGTGGCCCCTTCCATGTCCACAGTGGTGTCTTCCATGTCCGTGGTGGTGGCTCTGATGGGGCTCTCAGTGGTCCTGGTGGCACCTTCTGTAGTGGTGGCACTTCCCATGGTGGTGGCCCTGGAGCTGCTTCTCATGGTGGCCCCTTCCATGTCCACAGTGGTGTCTTCCATGTCCGTGGTGGTGGCTCTGATGGGGCTCTCAGTGGTCCTGGTGGCACCTTCTGTAGTGGTGGCACTTCCCATGGTGGTGGCCCTGGAGCTGCTTCTCATGGTGGCCCCTTCCATGTCCACAGTGGTGTCTTCCATGTCCGTGGTGGTGGCTCTGATGGGGCTCTCAGTGGTCCTGGTGGCACCTTCTGTAGTGGTGGCACTTCCCATGGTGGTGGCCATGATGCCACCTCCTAGAGGGCTTGGTGCAGTGTCTGTCACGTTGCTGCCCATGTCTGTGGTGTCACCTGTGGTGGTGGCACCTTCCCTGGTGGTGGCACCTTCCCTGGTGGTGGCCACGATGGTGCTCTCGGTGGCCCTGGTGTCACTTTCCACCCTGGTGGCCACGATGTCTCTTTCCAGGTGAGTTGCTGGAGCTGCTCTGGTGTCACTTCCCCTGGTGGTGGCCCTGGAGCCGCTTCCCATGGTGGCACCTTCCATGTCCACAGTGGTGTCTTCCATGTCCGTGGTGGTGGCCGTGGTGTCACCTTCCATGGTGGGGGCTGGGTCACTTCCCATGGTGGTGTCACTTCCCATAGTGGTGTCACTTCCCATGGTGGTGTCACTTCCCATAGTGGTGTCACTTCCCATGGTGGTGTCACTTCCCATAGTGGTGTCACTTCCCATGGTGGTGTCACTTCCCATAGTGGTGTCACTTCCCATGGTGGTGTCACTTCCCATAGTGGTGTCACTTCCCATGGTGGTGTCACTTCCCATAGTGGTGTCACTTCCCATGGTGGTGTCACTTCCCATAGTGGTGTCACTTCCCATGGTGGTGTCACTTCCCATAGTGGTGTCACTTCCCATGGTGGTGTCACTTCCCATAGTGGTGGCACTTCCCATGGTGGTGGCACTTCCCATGGTGGTGGCACCTTCTATGGTGGTGGCCACGATGTCACCTCCTAGAGGGCCTGGTGCAGTGTCTGTCACGTTGCTGCCCATGTCTGTGGTGTCACCTTCCCTGGTGGTGGCCACGGTGGTGTCCTCCATGTCCATGGTGGTGGCCGTGGTGTCACTTCCCATGGTGGCACCTTCCATGCCCACAGGGGTGTCCCTCTCCACGCTGGTGGCCCTGCTGGTCCTCTCGGTGGCCACGCTGGTGTCCCTGTCCCTCGTGGTGGCCCCGGTGGCTCCCTCAGTGGCCATGAAGCTCCTCTCCAGGCTGGTGGCTCCTCTGACCCATCTCACCCCACCACTGCTGACCTCCGAGGTGTCACTGAAGCCCGTGGTGGCCTCGGTGGTGGCTCCAGGGGTGGCTTTGAGGGTGATCTTGGTGGTGTCCTCGGTGGTGTCACTGAGGATGTCCTCAGTGGTGGCCTCAGTGGTGACCTTGGTGGCCTTCGTGGTGACCTTGGTGGCCTTCGTGGTGGCCTCACTGGTGTCATTGATGATGTCCTCAGTGGTGGCCTCAGTGGTGGCCTCAGTGGTGACCTTGGTGGCCTTCGTGGTGACCTTGGTGGCCTTCGTGGTGTCATTGATGACGTCCTCAGTGGTGGCCTCAGTGGTGGCCTCGGTGGTGACCTTGGTGGCCTCCGTGGTGTCATTGATGATGTCCTCAGTGGTGGCCTCAGTGGTGACCTTGGTGGCCTTCGTGGTGACCTTGGTGGCCTTCGTGGTGTCATTGATGACGTCCTCAGTGGTGGCCTCAGTGGTGGCCTCGGTGGTGACCTTGGTGGCCTTCGTGGTGACCTTGGTGGCCTCCATGGTGTCATTGATGACGTCCTCAGTGGTGGCCTCAGTGGTGGCCTCGGTGGTGACCTTGGTGGCCTCGGTGGTGACCTTGTTGGCCTCCATGGTGGCCTCACTGGTGTCATTGATGATGTCCTCAGTGGTGACCTTGGTGGCCTCCTTGGTGGCCTTGGTGGCCTCCATGGTGTCATTGATGACATCCTCAGTGGTGGCCTCAGTGGTGGCCTCGGTGGTGACCTTGGTGGCCTTCGTGGTGACCTTGGTGGCCTCCATGGTGGCCTCACTGGTGTCATTGATGATGTCCTCAGTGGTGACCTTGGTGGCCTTCGTGGTGACCTTGGTGGCCTTCGTGGTGTCATTGATGACGTCCTCAGTGGTGGCCTCAGTGGTG